TAAACTAAACTAAACTAAACTAAACTAAACGTGGAAAAATATTATACGAAGTAGTTTGCCTAGACGCATTCAGGCTCCGCTCAACGCAACTTTCAAGGTGTGAGAATTTTGTGTTAACCCGACGACATTAAGCATACGCTATATTTTGTTAAAGACTTCGTAATTTGAAAAACAAACTCCAAAAACGCAGATGTAAATACGGCTATCATTTTCAAGTCTGTTTATTGACGGCAGTGGTTAGTTTTCAAATAAAAAAAACTGTTATAACGTTTGTAGGGTTATCGAAAGATAAGCAGTTGGAATTTTAACTAGCTCGCATCATTATTTCGACTTCAGCACATGACATTTTGTATACACTCCATCAATTAAAAAAGAAATTTGGAAAACGTAATTATCGACGCAAATAATACTCTCGCTACCTTAACTGTCATAATCCCTTTAATGTACCATCAACTATTGTGTTATTTTTTCTCAGTCATTTATTGGTAATGTACGCACAAGCTGAAACCGTATAACGCAAATGTGCAACAATATTTGCAATAGTATATCTCTGGGACAATATTGGTCAGGAAATTGAACCCAACAGAAACACTTAAGATAAAACAAAATCGATACAGCTAGATTCACACATCAATTGGTGGTAAATCGATACAGCTAGATTCACACATCAAGACGTGGTGAAACAATACAAGCTAGGTTCAAACATCAAGACGTGGTGAATTGTGACAGACCAGATTCATATTTCAAGACATAAATGGATACAAGCTAGATCCACAGATCAAGACGTGGTGAATCAATACAAGCTAGATTCACACATCAAGGCAAGATGAATTGGTCCAAGAACAATTGACAATGTATTGTGCTTACTTGCAGAGTGGTTTATCAACACCGTCGTTTTCACACGTACCGCCATTTTTACAATAATCAGTAGCACAGATAGCTAAATAATTAAATAGAATGATTACAATGTTAATTGCTGTATGAATAAAAGTTGTGAGACGTTCGGGGGACAATCAAAAGTATACTTAAGGATTATATACAATGCATATTGTATATCATGCCGGTTTGATAAATAAAACAAATTAAGTTACTTATCTTTTTTGTAGCATTTATTTCTGGCGAAAACTGCTGCTCGATGATGATGAGAATATGTTTTTGTTAAATTCAATGCAATGTGCTCTCCCCGCAATGTGTCGCGCACATTAGTATGCAGTGTTCGGCTCGATCTGCTTCAATGTGCAGTTGTAATTAATACAATGTTTTGTATTAATATATGAAGACGTTATTTTTGATAAAAATGTAAACACTATACATGCATGCACAAACAATGTTAAAAATAAAAAATGCTTATTTTAACTGTTTAGATAATTTTTAATTTGGTTAAATTCGAAATAAACTTACTGAAAATAAAATCAAAGTTCCAATAATAAAACAAAGAATGAGATAATTGACAGGATAAAAAAAGGATTTTGTTTAAATGCTGTTACATGTTCCCAGGTAGTATGATAGAGTGACTATTAATGCATTTTTAGAGTTAAATTAATATTGAAATTGTTCTTGTTATCAAATTTACTTTTCATTGAGTTAATTGCCTTGAGCGCTTCTTGTTAGAGGGCGGTCGTCTTCGCGTCGCGTTATATCTGATATAGGAACGAGTAGCAACGCATATAACCGTGCAAAATGCATTGCTTACAAGAAATTCAAACACTTTCTGCGCGACGACCACCGCCCTTTTATCTTAATAATTTGCAGTTTATCAAATCGTGTATTCATTTTGTATTATGCGACAATGAGAGCAAATTGCGTTCTAATCTTAACTTAATCTTACTTTTGTCGTTGTTTTAACACGTTTACTTTTTAATACGTTTATTGTTTATAAAATACTATATGTACGTCATTTTCATTTTTAATATTCTAGTCTTTCTCGTAATGTTTTTGATTGATGTTTGCATTTCTGATTTTGTTA